CCCCAAAACCCCAAAACCCCAAAACCCCAAAACCCCATAATGTGAAAATTCGAATTTTTTGTGAAGTAAAGAAATCAAATTTAAAATGAATGAGTATGTTAAAGTTTTGTTATGGAAATTCACTGAAATGAATTTAATTAAAGACTGCTCAATCATTTTGAATAATCAAGCATTTAAGAATAGCTCATGGTCTTCATTTGCCAGGAGGTCATCCAGTGTAACTAACTGGTTTCTGTTGATTAGCTTGAGATGAGAGACTCAGGAGACCCGCTTTGTTCACAAGAGCAACTGAGATTTCATTGTAGGCTGAGAGGTTGATTCCAGTAGCACCCTCGACCTTGTACCATTTTTGAGCAACTGTCTACCATTTAACTAGAGTGTAATCTGCTCCACTTGGCTGACCTTCATCGAGTAAGGCCCAAAGGGATCCGTCGATACCAGCACTGATAGAAATTAATTTTTCACCTCCAAATCTTGTATCAACCTCTCCATTGCTATTAATTAAAATGGGCTCATCCTTAAGTAATGTAATGCCCTTCTATCCTCTAAGAGCCTTATATTTGTATTATTATAGAGTGGTGGTGGTCATTTTCTCACGATAATTACCTGATAGTGTATCTTCGGGAAGAGAACCATCACTAAGTCCGATGATTTCCTTGTTTACAGTGACCTCAAAGTCAACAAGTCCACAAACGATATCTTCTTTTGTTAAAGCATTTCACAACCAAGATGTTGTATTATGTAAACGAAGTACTTTTGCTCACTCATATCTCCTTTAATGCTCTAGATGGCATAAACATCACCATCAGGAGATGTCTAAACATCAATGAACGAATTGACCACAGACCACTTCAATTCTTGAGTGGCATTCCAGGAGAATTTGTTTGTTGCTTCTTGTCTCCACTGTGCTTATGTTTCTGCTCTTTGCTTCTAGAGCACTTGACTGACTTGGATTGCAGTTGTAGCAGCAACAAGTAAAGTGGCAGCGAGTAGTTGATTCTTCATAATTTAAATTCAAATTTTTAACTATATTCAAATTAACCTCGTTATTTCAAATAATTTAAATTCTAAGTCATTTTAACATACTTCTCAATATTAATGATCAGAGCAATTATTTAACTATCATTTTTTACTCTCTATTTAATGAGCATGGGGTTTTGGGGTTTT